TTCCACCTGGCTTTTGCAGTGAACATTAGTGGTGAGAACTGGCCGAGTTGCCCGCAGGGAGAATGCGTAGAAGCCAGCCCTTTGCATGCAAGGGGGACACCGTGGCTCCTGCCAAAGACTCAAGGTTAAGTTTCCAGGCACCAAGAGAGGAGACAGATGACACCTAGTGGCAGGAACATTCTCTGTTCAGCAGAGCCCCCAAGGGAAAACGTGCCATGTACCGCTGGGCCTTGCTGGGCCCCCAGAAACCCTGCCTCTCAGGGCAACAGTCGGGCAGGCATCTTGGGGATAACCGTGAGGACCTGAAGAGCAAAGACCCATTCCTGTGCTTTCCTGCTCAGGTGTGCCACTGGGACGCCGCGTGCTCCACAAGGAAGAGGTGCTGCATCTCAGCTGCATCTTCCTTTCCGCCTCTGGGTTTAACCTGTTTTCCCTTAGCTCCCTAGTGCAGGATTCCCTTGCCCCTCCCCACCAGCAGCAGCCAGTTGGTACCACACTTATTTTCCTACAGAAAAAGACACTGAAACAAGGATTTGAGTGCAGATGGTTCTGGGAGACACGAAAAGGAGAGAAGAGAATGAGGCAAGAGAGCAAGAGGCAGGAATGAGTATGAGCCCTGTGGCGGTACCTGGGGACAGAGCAGCGCAGGCCTCAGATTGTCCCTCCCAATGGGTGAGGAATCTGCAGACTGACTTCCTGGCACTTCCTGCCAACTTGGCCCACTTGAGCAGAGAGAAAATCCTCAGGCCAAGAGTAGCAGGTGGATGTAATCGACATGTTCTGGAACAGTGATCACAGAGGGGATTTGAGTGACAGCGGGTATGTCAGTGATGCTACTGACAGTCTCTTCTACCCATCCCAACCACCCTCTCAATATAGGTTTACTACGTTTAACTGAAAATCTGCTGCTGAACAAACTCAGCTCGTGATGGTTTTAGCCAGCCATCACTGTCTCATCCCACACCAGCCTCTTCTCACCACTGGCTGTGCATTCTTTTTTCTAGAATGCATCCAAGAATAGGAGCTCATTTCCATGCTCTGTGCTGAGCTGACATATGGATTTATATATGCTTTATAAGTTTGTGCAAATGTGAAAGACTGACGTAGGTGTGTCACCCTGAAGTACCACTTTGTCATCAGTCACTCGCAAGCTAGAGAAGGCTGGAGGAGTCTGCTTATGGCTGGGCTGGGTTACTACTATTTGTGCATCGACATCAGGATGGCCATGAGCGAAAAGAGTGTAGGAAACTGTTCTCTTTTGAACAGAATTGGAAATATATTAAAGTGACAAAGAATTATGATGAACTCACAGATCCCACCTATTTGCTAATTTAGCATCTGCCCTATTAATCTGCCTACATGTGTGTTTACACCCACGCAGACAGATGTGCGGCTTTGTTCTGACCAAATGCAGGTTGTATGCTTCATGCTCTTTATCCCTAAATCCTAGAGTGTGTAGAGTAAGAATATTCTCTTAGAGAATCACAGTACAGTCAACACATGTAGGAATCTTAACATTGATTCCGTATTTTCATGATTCCACTCTTGAAATTCTGATTTTGTCACTTGAAATAGTAAAGTCCTTCAAATGCGTGTTACTCCTTTTCAGCCCAGGGCCAGGTGTTGTATTTGTTGATGTGTGTCTTCAGATTCTTTTCACCAATAATATTTACACACACACACAGAAATTTGCCTTTTTCTCCATCTCAAATTAAAATATACCTCTTTGGGGATTTCTTTGTGATGGCATTTAGGTTCTTTCTGCATGGTGGCTGGATAAATGCATAGCTGCTGTGTCCTTCCCAGGGTGTCACATCTGGATGCAAATCATGTTAGTCAAGATACTGTATAATTTCAGCATGTCTAGTTACAGCTCTCCCTCTGCCACTTAATAGGCCATATGGGAGATACTTTCAAGACATGCATTGGGGCCTTCCCTTGTGGAGCAGTGGGTAAACGCAGCCCTAAGAAGCTAAAGCCGCTTCAGCACAAGTTAGATCCCCCACCCCGGAGGTGACCCACATGGCGTGGCAGACCTCTCCTGACCTGTCCGCTGCTCCCCTCAGCAGTGGACTTCCTCAGTCAGCCTGCTCTGCCCCCAACTCTGTCTCTGGTGAAGCCTTTCACCGCATCTGTACCTACCCTAGTTTTGTATGCATAAATAAATAAATAAATCTTAAAAAAAAAAAGACATGCATTGTACTTTTACCACTTAACAGTGTCCCCCAGAAACATTTTTCATAGAATTTCAATGAAACCCAGAATCCATATCCTATAATATTCGAGATGCCTAGTATATAATTCAAATTCAGTGACCATGCCAAGAATCAAGAAATTATCAACATCTGGTGAGGAAAAAGGCAAGGTAGTCAAGAGATACCAAACTCTGACATGGTACAGATTTGAGATAACTAAGCAGAACCTTTAAAGCACTTACGAATGCTGGCGAGGCTGTGGAGAAAGAGAAACCCTCCTATACTGCTGGTGGGAATGTAAGCAAGTCTCGCCCCTAAGGAAAACAGGAGGACAGCTTCCCAGGAGACCACCAGTGGGCCTGCCATGTGACCC